ATAGGTTCTGTGACTTTATTCTTTTTAAAATTCTCACCTGAGGATATGTTTTGGAATTTTTGTTTTGTTTTGTTTTGCATTTTTTTTAATTTAAATGCTTTATTGTTTAAAGTATTACATATGTCTCCTTTTTCCCCCATTGACCTCTCCTCGGCCGTTCCCACCCCCCAGCACATGCCCTCACCCCCCTACAGTCTGTGTCCATGGGATATGCTTATACGCATGCATACAAGTCTTTTGGTTGATCGCTTACACCCTCCCCCACCCCCGCGTTCCCTCTGAGGTTAGATGGTCTGTTGGTTGCTTCTGTGTCTCTGGATCTACTTTTGTTCATCAGTTTATGTTGTTCATGTTATTCCACAAATGAGTGAGATCATGTGATATTTATTTTTCTCCAACTGGCTTATTTCGCTTAGCATGATGCTCTCCAGGTCCATCCATGCTGTGGCAAATGGTAAGAATTCCTTCTTTTTTACCACAGCATAGTATTCCATTGTGTAGATGTACCACAGCTTTCTAATCCACTCACCTATTGATGGGCACTTAGGCTGTTTCCAAATCTTAGCTATGGTAAATTGTGCTGCTATGAACATAGGGGTGCATAAATCCTTTCTGATTGGTGTTTCTGATTTCTTGGGATATATTCCTAGAAGTGGGATCACTGGGTCAAATGGGAGTTCCATTTTTAGTTTTTTGAGGAATCTCCATACTGTTTTCCACAGTGGTTGCACCAGTCTGCATTCCCACCAGCAGTGCACAAGGGTTCCTTTTTCTCCACATCCTCCCCAGCACTTGTCTTTTGTGATTTGTTGATGATAGCCATTCTGACAGGTGTGAGATGGTACCTCATTGTCGTTTTGATTTGCATCTCTCGGATATTAGTGACTTAGAGCATGTTTTCATATGTCTTTTGGCCTCTGTATGTCCTCTTTCGAAAAGTGTCTATTTAGGTCCTTTGCCCATTTTTTGATTGGATTGTTTATCTTCCTTTTGTTAAGTTGTATGAGTTTCCTGTAAAGTTTGGAGATTAAACGCTTATCGGAAATAACATTGGCAAATATGTTCTCCCATGCAGTGGGCTTTCTTGTTGTTTTGTTGATGGTTTCTTTTGCTGTGCAGAAGCTTTTTATTTTGATGTAGTCCCATTTGTTTACTTTCTCCTTAGTTTCCATTGTCCTAGGAGCTGTATTGGTAAAGATATTGCTACGGCATGTCTGATATTTTGCTGCCTATGGATCCTTCTAAGATTTTTATAGTTTCCCATCTTATGTTTAAGTCCTTTATTCATTTTTAGTTTATTTTTGTGTATGGTGTAAGTTGGTAGTCTAGTTTCATTTTTTTTGCATGTATCTGTCCAATTTTCCCCAACACCATTTATTGAAGAGACTTTCTTGACTCCATTGTATGCTCTTGCCAAATATTAATTGAGCATAATGGTTTAGGTCAGTTTCTGGGTTTCTTCTTTTGTTCCATTGGTCTATATGTCTGTTCTTGTGCCAGTACCAGGCAGTTTTGAGAACAATGGCTTTGTAATATAGCTTGATATCTGGTATCGTGAGCCCTCCAACTTTGTTCTTCTTTCTCAAGGTTGCTGCGGCTATTCAGGGTCTTTTTATATTCCAGATGAATTTTTGGAGTTCTAGGTCTGTGAAATATGCCATTGGTATTTTAATGGGGAGTGCATTGAATCTATAGATTGCTTTGGGTAGGGTGGACATTTTAATGATGTTGATTCTACCAATCCATGAACATGGGATATTCTTCCATTTGTTTAATTCTTCCTCTATCTCTTTTTTCAATGTCCTATAGTTTTCCGAGTATAGGTCTTTTACCTCCTTAGTTGAGTTTATTCCTAGGTATCTTACTTTTTTTGTTGCAATAGTAAATGGGATTGCTTTTTTTGTTTCTCTTTCTGTGAGTTCATTATTGGTGTATTAAAAAGCCATAGATTTCTGGGTGTTAATTTTGTATCCTGCTACATTGCCAAATTCATTTATTAAGTCTACTGAGGATATGTTTTATAGATTTTTGTTTGAGAAAGAGAGAGAAAGAGAGGAACATTGATGTGAGAGAGACACATCAATCGGTTGCCTTCCATACGCAGCCTGACAAGGGATTGAACCCCCCCCCCCCAACCTAGGTATATGCCCCGACTGGGAATTGAACCCATAACCCTTTATGCACACCTTTTTGGTGCACGTGACAGCACTCCAACCAACTGAGCCACTTACCTTCTCCCAGTTAACCTTGTACTTGCACTTTCACTTTTTCTCCATGGAAACCCTGTTTCTCTTTTTGTTATGATTCTACTTAAATATCACTATTTTTTTAAAATATATTTTATTAATTTTTTACAGAGAGGAAGGTAGAGAGATAGAGAGTTAGAAACATCGATGAGAGAGAAACATCGATCAGCTGCCTCCTGCACATCTCCTACTGGGGAGGTGCCCGCAACCCAGGTACATGCCCTTGACCGGAATCGAACCTGGGACCTTTCAGTCCGCAGGCCGACGCTCTATCCACTCAGCCAAACCGGATCCGGCAAATATCACTATTAAAGTGGTATTCCACCTTCCCAATTAAAGTTCTTTACCCCGTCTTTTAGAAATTTGTTCATTTTTCATGTTTAACATTTCCCTTATCATGTTGTATGTTTGTGTTTATTTTAGTCTTCCTATTAGTACATTGTAAGTTTCTGGAAGACAAGGACTATTTTGTCTGTATAAACCACAGGTCCATGTGCAAAATGAGAATTTTTAAAATGAGTTTTATTCATACAAATATTTTTAGAGATTTTATTTTTATAATGATGGAATGTGGAATCCTTTCTTTTTTGAAAATACATTTTTATTGATGTTAGAGAGGAAGGGAGATGGATGGAGAGATAGAAACATCAATGAGATAGAAACATCATTGATCGGTTCCTTCCTGCATGCTCCACATTGGGGATCGTGCCCTGATTGGGAATCAAACTGTGACCTCCGGGTTCATAGGTCGATGCTCAGCTACTGAGCTACACCGGCTGGGCTGGAATCCTTTCTTACTAATGCTTGAGAATTGTCGCAACCAAGTTACAGGGATGTTTTATACTCCAGTAGATGGTGTAGAACTTAATAATAAAAATTTAATAAAATTTTAATTTTAAAATCATTTAATGAAAAAATTTTTTATTCTCTTTTCATTCCTTTCCATTGAAAATTTTTATAGTGTTAGATATATGTTTAAAGCATATTATGGAGTTTTATAAATATTAATGGTAAGACAAATAATTGGAAGAATAATTAGTGCTATAAAAATTGTATTTCTGTATTTTCCATTGTTTACCCAGGTTTTAAAAAATACAAATAAACTCTTCAGTTCCTAATTAAGTCATTGTTTTCAAATTTTTAAAGTTTAACTTATTCAAAAATTTGACACCTTTTTTGGGAATATATACAAGAATTTTTAATGGGAAAATTAAGGTTAGAAACTAAGATGAAGCTAGGTTGGTATCTCTACCTAAAACACATACCATAGAATCCAATCTAGCTTGATGCTAGAAGTGGGCCACAGACTTGGCTTTGCTTTTGCTATGGGCAAAGTAAACAAAATATGATTAGTTACATGATCAAATTGTTCATATTATAAAACCAACCAGAGGAATTTCTTTTATTGGTCCTCACAAAGAAAAACTGTCATATCAAGTAGATGAACCATATTCTCAACAACATCCCTGCACTGAGTGCAGTGATAGTGGAACACATTTCAGGCCATTCAGTGCAGGCCAGTGGCATACTATGTAGCTTACTAAAGAATATTTTATGAGCCAAAATGAGAGCATACAATTGTAAGATTAACTGAAGAAATTTGAAATATCTAGAGCAGCATTTCCCAAGGCAAATGGTCTCTTTTTTTTAATTGAATTAAAATTTAAACACAGTTATTTTGTAAAATAAGCACTTAAAATTTTCTCTTAAATAATTTTACTAACTACAAAAACATTTTAGAACACATACTTTTATATTTTAGTCCTTGGTTTACTAAATCCCAAAGTATCAAAGCACTGTAGTCAAAAAATGTAGATGCATTGAAATAATATGCTTAGGGCAAATATAAACAGATCTGTAAGTCTCCTGCTATGACAAAAAGTTGTTTTGTTTTTAAAGATACCATAATGAATCATGTATTTGTAATTACAGTGAATAGATGAAAGAAAATATTGGGTAAATGCTAGAGTCTATATATACATATAGAAAAAATACTGGATTTTTGGAACTTTGTGACTGTGTTTGGGAATTGTTGACCTACCAGCACTATTCAATTTACTATGATGATGGAAGTGTTCTATATCTGCACTGTTCAAAATGGTAGCCAGTAGCTAAGGTGGCTATTGGCCACATGAAGTGTGGCTAGAGTGACTGAGGAACTAAATTTCTAATTTTATTGATTTTAATTAAATTTAAGTAACTACATGTGGCTAGTATCCAACCATCGAGGAAGTTCATTTCTAGAGTGCAAGAAAGACTGCTTATGTTTCTGGCTATCTAAGATAGAATAGCAATAAGTTCAAACTTATATTCTCCATCAGTAACTGAATGAAGAAATCCTGTATTTCTAAGAGACGTGTGTTTTAAGATAATCAGTAATTATATTTGTTTACTTTTCTATTTTGAACTTGAAAGTTAACCAGGATGCTTAAGTACATGATCAGTCTTGTAGATGTTAGTAGAATTGTTAGCAAATAGATAGTGTTAGGCTACAAACTACATTTAACCCTTTGTGGTCCAATTTTATTTTTGGAATTCAAACAGTCTGGTCCAAATTAATTGACCTGATTGAATGTTGAACCGGTTTGCGGTGTCGACCTCCGCCTCGACATTGGACCTGCTCCTAGCACCTGGTCTGTCGAGTCAGCCTCCACGTTGGACCGAAAAGGGTTAAAACTCTTTCATAAGATTGAGACATTTACTTATAAAAGCAGATAGCTATGTGTATACTGATATAAGACTATTTTCCTGCAGTTTCCAGAGTGTGGATTCTTTGGCATGTATGACAAAATTCTTCTCTTTCGCCATGACCTGAACTCAGAAAATATTTTGCAGCTGATTACCTCAGCAGAAGCCGACGCTCTATCCACTGAGCCAAACCGATTTCGGCAAGTAAATAGCTTCTTTTATTTTGTTTTCCCTCCCCCTTTTTTCTCCAGCTAAATGCTATGTTCCATTATACTTTGTCTTTGTATTATAGTTGCTTATTTCTTTCAGTAATGATTACCACATAATTTTTACTTTCAGAAAGATTGTATCACAGATGAGAAACTAGGAAAATAAGCCCTGAATTACTTGAGTGTTACTAAGCTAAGGGGATTATCAATTGAACTAGAAGAGAAATATACTCTTCTTTGAGCCAAAGAAACAAAGTAATTACACTAAAATTTTGTTCCCCTTTTCCCATTTTTGTAAAGAGTATAAAAGAAAAGAATTGGGGTTCAGAAAAGAAAATAAGAAAAATAAGAGAAGTAATGAAGATGTGGAAGAGGCAACTGCAATGCTGGGTGTTTCCATGATTTAAATAATGCTCCTTTCCTTGTTCTCAGTGGACATTTTCCCTCTTTCATCCATCTCTCCTTTCCCTCTTTCACCCATTCTTGCCATTCATTGTTTCTTAGCTCCTGCGTTTTCAGATCTCATCCAATAACAGATGGGCAAGATTGTTAGTGAGGAGTGTAAAGGAACAAAGAATGCATATGGTAGGCTTGCAAAACTCCTTGTTTGGCAGGGACTGAGGGAGGGAGAGAGGAAAAGCATGAGAGGAAGAGATAGAGAAGGAAGGGAAGGAAAGAAAGGAAAGCCAGCCAAGAGTCCAGAGTCCTGCCACCAGTTTTTCCTCTTTTCAAGCTCATTTTTGCAGCCTGTTTTTGAGATGCTCTCTGAGCATCACCTTTCCTTATTAGTCCCTGATCCTTCCAGTTCATCTAGTACCTACATTTATCATTCATCTGCTATACCACAACCCCAGTCATCTGTATACTTCTTAGTTCTTGTCTTCCTCTTCACTTTGGGGGAGCTTTATTCCCTGTCCTCCCTGGAGGTCATGTTCACATCCAGTCCTTTGTTACAGACCCTTCATCAGGCCACTGTGGATACTAATGACTTGCAGGTGTAGGTGAGATGATGTCTACTGGCAGATGTGTCTATTGTTCATTTGCTTATAGAGGGGAAAGGAGACTCTTTGTTAACCACTTAGGACTATGGAGAACAGACAAGGAGCATATCCTGAGAACTGAAGTTAGAACTGAGTACATTTCTCACAGGAACATTGCTATAAATTGAGGTCAGGTTCCACAAATTTATTTATTTGTTTGTTTGTTTGGTTTTATTTTAGCATTCTATTTCTCGGTGTATTATAAGTTAGACTGTTTTAAATTGGCTAAAATAGACCGAACAACTGCTTAAAATCCAGTCTTGTCACTTTGAGAAAAGGCTTTTGGCGATCAAAATATCTACCTATAGGACCTGCTTTTGGAGTTGAAATTAATTGAAGCTGATGAACTTCCTAAAATAGAGTTTAAAAAACCACAATATTAAATGCTAAAAATACTTTATTTTTATGGTCAGATGAAACTTTCAGAGAAAAAATTATTCTATACTTCATCATAAATGAACATGACCAACATTCCTAAGCTCATAGCAAGTATAAGTATAATAAGGTTTATTTAATATTTTTCTTTTTTTAAAAGCTTTGGCCACAGTAGAAGACTTCCAGATTCGTCCACATACTCTCTATGTACATTCTTACAAAGCTCCTACTTTTTGTGATTATTGTGGTGAGATGCTCTGGGGACTGGTACGTCAGGGTCTGAAATGTGAAGGTATGTGTTCTAAATGTATCATTTGAAATAGGATTTCACGTTTGCATTCTCTAATCATCAAGGAAAAAATAAGATCATTAGTTGGTGACTGGGTAGTAACCCAGGTTTAGAATTGGAGAGATCTAGACTTTGGTCTTTCCTTTGCCACTTACTGGGTCATATTCTTGGGCAACTTAAACCTCTCAGGATCATTTCTCTGTCTGTAAAATGTATTCTACTCCACTGCTTTCATGAAGAGTGAATAGTTAAATGAGGGAATATGGGTAAAATTCTTGGCACTAAATAGTGGCTAAATGATATTAACTTCTTTATTCTCTTCTTAAAACATTAATGTTTTACATGCAACAACAAAGTTGTTATAAATTAGAATTGCTAGGGAATAGGATGAGGTGCAGATTTCTGTTTAAAAAACTCTAAGGCAGTGGTTCTCAACCTTGGCTGCACATTAGAATCATCTGGGAATCTTTTTAAAATCCTGATTTCTGGGCCTCATCCTCCAGAAATTCTGTTTCTTTGTTACTAATGTTGTGGCCTTACCCCATAACAAAGAAACAGAATTTCCGGAGGATGAGGCCCAGAAATCAGGATTTTAAAGATTCCCAGGTGATTCTAATGTGCAGCCAAGGTCGAGAACCACTGCTCTAAGGTGAAGGATCAATGAAATTGTTTTGTAAAGGGCCAGAGTAAATATTTTAAGGTTTGTTGGCCATATGTTCTCGAAACTACTTAACTCTTCTGTTATAGTGTGAAAGAAAATTGAGCATGTTATATTGCTGTGGTCTAATAAAATTCTTCATGAACACTGAAACTTGAATTTCATATAATTTTCAAATGTCCTAGGAAGGATTTGGTACACAGGCCACAATTTGTTGAAGTGCTTTAAGCCCGGTAATTCTCAAAGTTTACCATGCATCAGAATCACCTCAAGGACTGATTTGCTAGCTTCTGATTCAATAGGTCTAGGGTAGAGCTTGCTAATTTACATTTTTAACAAATTCTCAGGTGATGCCATATTTGGAGACCACAGTTCAAGAACTACCATTCTACTAACTTGATCTTTCTAAATAAACCGTCTTACACATTTCCTGTTTTTGAATTTGTTAGCTTCCATTTAGCCTGTTGTCTGGGTTCTTATTTTCTTTTTTTAACCTTTTAAAATATATTTAGGCTGTGGATTAAATTATCATAAACGTTGTGCCTTCAAGATTCCAAATAACTGTAGTGGAGTAAGAAAGAGGCGCCTGTCAAATGTGTCTCTACCAGGACCTGGCCTCTCAGTCCCAAGACCTCTACAAACGGAGTATGTTGCCCTTCCCACTGAAGAGGTACGTATTGTAAGGTATTAGAACAGCACTGTACTAGGTATTCCTTAGGTTGTATAGGATATATGACATCATTTTAGAACGTAAGTTTTATGCTAAAGAATAGTAAGATTCTTACAGTTAAGAAGCTTAAAATGTGTTATGGAGACAGGGCTTACCAATAGTAATGAACTGCATTTTGTATACTTTGGGATCACATTATCACTTGGACCTCACTGCATTAGTCTCTTGACCAGTATCCTGACACCTGGTCTCCATACTTTGCTTCATGTTACATATTACATATGGACCACCTTATCCCATTACAGCTTAATACACAACTCCTGACTAGAAAACTTTTATATATTCTATGTGTCTGACGTCTGTACTATTCAACATTCCCTGAACACATCCTTGCTCCTCTATATTTTTTTTCTAGGCCTAGCTCAACAGCTCCTTTCCTGATTTTCCCCTTACTACCCAGAAGTTATTTTATTTTCTGAATGCCATAGCACTTTTCAGACCTCCTAATGGTGTGTGTAATATTTGTATACTGGACTGTTCTCAAGGAGTTTATGATCTATTTAAAGAAAGCAATGCTCATTTCCATGACCAGCACATTACCTGGTACTTAGTAGTTATACTCAGTGATGAATGAATGCATGAGTGCCCCCACTGATCCTCACAGTATTCCAGTAAGATATAGCAGTACATCTGTATACCATGAGACAGTTGAGACTCAGAATGGTCAAGTGATTTCACTGAAGTCATAGAGCAAATTTAGTAAGTGCTATTAGAACTAAATCCAGAACTGTTTTTTTCTAAAAATTAAAAATATATATTTTTATTGATATCAGAGAGGAAGGGAGAGAAAGAAACATCAATGATGAGAGAGAATCATTGATCAGCTGCCTCCTGTACACCCCCTACTGAGGATGTGCCCGCAACCAAGGTACATGCCCTTGACTGGAATCGAACCCTGGACCCTTCAGTCCACAGGCCGACGCTGTATCCACTGAGCCAAACCAGTCAGGGCAAGCTTTTTCTTATATATTGTACCCCTCAAGTATAAAGGTAGAGGATCAGGGAAGAAAGAAATAACTTTCTTGTTCATTTGATAGTACTTAAAATGATTTTCATTCATAGTTTAGTTGTTTCTATAAACCCTTTGGTCTTCTGTAAATTAATGCTAAAATCAAGCCTTTGGGCTGTTTTCTTGATGCCCTAATCACTATATTTTGTAAACTGAGGCACCAGAGTAAAAGCTCCTGAAATTCTTTCACCAGAAAATCCCATATTTCTATATTGCTTAGTCCTATTTGAGATTTTTAAAGTAGAAGACTGCTGTTGCATAAGGAACTGAGAACAGTGAGTTTAAAGATATGCAAGAGCTTGGGGAAAGATTGGTAAAAGCAAAGCTGGTGCGTTTTATACATGAACTGCACAGGAAACTTAGCTAGGAATGGGGACTGTAAGATAGAGATATGTTCTTTTTAAGAGTCCTACAAATGATACTGGTCTGCCAGCTACCCTTAGTTGGAATTACTAGATTAGGAAATAACAGGACAGAGCAGATGAATAAGGCATTACGTTTTAATTCATTAGTTTATATTTTATCCTGAAGATGAAAATTCCATAGGGACATATCAGAAGTAGAGTATATGTTTGAATTGGTTAGATTGTGTGGAGTATTTTAGAACAGGTAGAAATTGTAGAGTGAAATGTCAGTCCATGCATGCAATCTCAAAAAGGAAGGAGGTACAGTAAAAGAACTCAGGGAGGAAAATCAGGGAAGGAAGAGTGAGAAAAAAGGACACTCTAGGAATAAAGGAGATGGCAGTGAGGAGAGGGAAACAACCTCAAATCTGAACCTAGGATAGAGAGGAATTAACTCTCAAGTGCTACACAGTAAGAGCCTCCTAAGTTCTCATGTGCAGACTCCATGCTGTGGCATAGTCCTTGCGCACGTGTTCTGTACCATGTCCCAAATACTCCAATCCCAGCAGGACCTGACAAAAGGCAATCACTAACTGGCTATTGGCGTATGAAGGGATGTGTTAGGAAAATTCTTCCTTTTAGGGATATCTTAATACATTTGATGATGACCGGCTAAATTAGTCTTATTCCATCTTGTGTGTTTTAAACTTGAGACACACTGAAAGTGGTACAAGCAGGAGCAAGAAGTACTGTTGAATCACCACTAGAATAGGGAGCCAAGGATGAACAAAGGCCTAAACATCTGTTTCTGGTTCCTGTTGGCTTCTTTGTTAGCTTTGCAGAATCACTGTGATGGTCTTTTTGCTGAAGGTGCTCCATACATAGCAATATGGATGAAGGGTGTTTGTGTGTGGAGAGGGGGTGAAGTGGGGAGAGGGCAGACTAGAGCCAGACACCTTGGACAAATAAAGCATACAAGTTTGGTTTGGGTTTTAATATTCTTTTTGTACCTTTCTTAAACTACTTCATAATTCATTTTAGAAAATTTCTGGCTACACATTAGTGAAAAACTATACATCGGAGGCTATATTTGTATTCTTTTTAGAGTGCTCTCCTCCATTCAGCTGTGCTTTTCTTTTTTCTTCTTCCTACTTTCTTCAAAAAAATCTTTTTCTCTCTCCTTTTATTTCTCCCTTACACTTCTCTGTCTCTTGGTTCTTCTAGTTTATTTTCCCTCTGTTGGTTGAATATATCAATATAGAATGACTCAACTTTTCTGAATTACAGACATGACTAGTTACAGAAAGCATATGAAAGATCTCAGGACCTCAGTTCTAGCTGTGAAGATGCAAGCAGCAACAACAAAATATGTAATACATCTAGAAAGTAGTTAGGTATTTGATTTTGTGCTTGAAAACATGGACTATATTTATTTTTATATCCCCATACATAGTATCAGGCCTGGCCTATAGTAATCAATGAACATTGAATGAATGGAATGAGCCACATTGAACTGACATATAATTTAATATGATTATTTCTTTAGAATATATAGAAAGAGCTATAGTTGCAAAAATCCGCTTATTCCTCAGGTTACACAAAAATTTTTAATCAGCTCCTCCTCTAATTTTTCTTGCTCACAAAAAGAAAAAGTGTAAATAACTGGAAAACATTTTAAATATCAAGGAACTTCGTAAAGGATAATTACTGGAGGTAACGTTTTAATTAATTTTATATCTGCCATTATGTATATCATCATTAATTAAACTTAAATTTTTACACACATATTTTAGTATTAAAATAAATTTGAAAAAATAATTTGTTTTGAAATATTTTCAGACATTCTGTTCTGTAATTTAACATGAATAGCAATAACACTTTCTGTATTTATTTGCTTTTCCCATGATTAATTCCTTGGTAAGATTTTTGGAGGGATTTGAACATCTGTTATAAATCGACTTTAAGGCTTTTATGTTTTATTTGAAAAATGCCATGTGTGCCTGGCAAAAAATAACTAACCGGTGAATCTGTGTATGTGAGAATGAAAATACCCTTTTTTTAAAAATCATAAATAGCAAAGAAATTTTGCTCTTTTTTCCTTCAAGAGTTGGCCAGTTAAGCTTCCAAAGCAAACTGCTGAGATCCACATTTTTAGAGTTTGGGCTGTATTGTTTTAAAAAAAATGACTTTTGTGGTCAAACCCAGCTCTTAATATATTTTCTTAATATTGACTTATGCTTATGGAAATTACTTATGTTTTAGTCACATGTTCACCAAGAACCAAGTAAGAGAATTCCTTCTTGGAGTGGTCGCCCAATCTGGATGGAAAAGATGGTAATGTGCAGAGTAAAAGTTCCGCACACATTTGCTGTTCACTCTTATACCCGTCCCACAATATGTCAGTATTGCAAGCGGTTACTGAAAGGCCTCTTTCGCCAAGGAATGCAATGTAAAGGTAGGATTGGATGTTTTTCTTAAGTAAAATTTATATCTGTCTTTATTAGCAAATATAGGTTTAAAATATTTATATTTAGAAGCATTAAGCAAAGAAATTGGTCTCATAATTGTTAACTTAAAAAAGAAAGAAGCCGAAACCAGTTTGGCTCAGTGGATAGAGTGTCGGCTTGCGGACTGAAAGGTCCCAGGTTCGATTCCGGTCAAGGGCATGTACCTGGGTTGCTGGCACATCCCCAGTGGGAGATGTGCAGGAGGCAGCTGATCGATGTTTCTCTCTCATCGATGTTTCTAACTCTCTATCTCTCTCCCTTCCTCTCTGTAAAAAATCAATAAAATATATTTTTAAAAAAAGAAAGAAAGACGATACACATATTAATTACTACTACTATCTGAAATATGTGTCCTATGTACCAGGAACTGTGCTAGAGAAAAATTAGAATATAAACAGGAAAACTAGAATTTGGATCTCTAAGATATGGCTGCTTAACACTTGCCAATACAGAACAGTTAGTAAGCAGGTAAGCTGGTATTTGAGCTTAAGTCTTTCTAATTCCAAAAACAGATAAGATGTAAAGTAATGATTTCCTTTTTTCATTAAATATTCATACACACATACTACAAGAGTTTAGTTATTTTTATTATTAATTATGTAGCTAGAAGAGTGGTACAAAAACTGCTATTCCTGAAAATAGGTGGAATATAGTAGAAGCCACTTATAATAGGAGCCACCATATTTGGATACTAACCCAAAACACTATCATAGTATTCCAAAAACATCTGTTAATGAACCAGGGTTTTAATAGAATAATGGAATAATTTTTCCTGTATAATTATATAATGTTTTTATGTTTCCTAAAATGATTTTATCTTTTTTAAAAATCTCATATCTCTCAGCAATGCTGTACAATACTGTGAAAACCAAAACAGAGAGTTGGAATGTGTTATTCGTCATTAAGCCAGGATATGACAAGTAATCTTTCTAAAATCTTATGTACTTATTTTTCATGTGATTATTTTAACAGTTCTTGGTACCATACTTTTTTTATATAATAGAAGTATTTGTGGAATTGAACAAATCAGTTTTATCTAAATAAACCTTATGTTTGAGGTCTTTGCAATAATAAATCCTGTTTACAGCACACAATCAAATAATTGTATATAAATTTAACAAGTATGTAAGAAAAGAAAATTTTCTTGGTAACAATATGACAGCATAGGAGAGCATCAAATAGAAAACAGGTTGTATAATTGTTGTCAAGTATTTAATAAGCATCAGGCAGGCATAATTACATGTTGAAATTTTATTTCAACAGCTTAGTTTTGAATATGATTTAATATATGTTAATACTTTAAAATATCAACACTAAAGTGTATTGGCAAGCAGCCACTAAGGAATGTTTTGGGAAAGAACATTAATAACAGATGTACAAATTCTAGCCAGCAGATAATCTTAGAAAAGGTAGTAAAATAATGCGGCTCTGCTCAGCAGAACAGATACATTCTAAAACCAATATTTTGTAGAGGAACTGAAATAAATATGTAGATCCATGAACTTTGAAATGACCAGTTAACTGCCACTGGATTATTAGTTTAACTTCTCAGAGCTCTAAAAGAATAATGTTTGTGATTATATTGTTTCAGAAAGCAGTAGGTTATATTTCTAGTTATTTTGATTATCAATCAAAAACCACCAAAATTTCAGTGATTCTATATTTTTTATTATTTATTTTTTATCCTTACCCAAGGATATGTTTTTTTCATTGATTCTAGAAAGAGAGGAAGGGAGCCAGAGAGAGAGAGAGAAACATTGATTGGTTGCCTCCTGTACACACCCCAATCGGGGATCAAACCCGAAACCTGGGTATGTGCCCTGACCAGGAATCGAAGCCAAGACCTTTTGGTGCACCGAAAATACTCAACCAACTGAGCCACACTGGCCAGAGCCTAGTATTTTTATAATATGAATTAAGATGCTTAAAAAGTAAAATAGTTATCATTTTCATTCACTTTTCAAGCTAAGAAAATACAAAACATTTATGCTGGGTTATTTGAGGAAAAAATACAATTCCAAAAACAGTTATTCATTTATTCACTTCTTTTAATTTTTTACTTTGTTATATTAAAACTGCAAGGCAACTTTAGAGCATATCCTATATAATAAAAGGCTAATATGCAAACCAACCAAATGGCGGAACAACTGGTCACTATGATGTGCACTGACCTCCAGGGGCCAGACGGTCAACGCAGGAGCTGCCCCCTGGTGGTCATTGTGCTCCCACAGGGGGAGCGCCTCTGTGTTATAAAAGGACAGTGTTATATGATGAAATGTTATTATCCACTAAATTATTAATTTTGGGGGCTTTTTCTTTTTTAAGTCAGGACTTGAAATTATTTTTACCCAGTTATTGCTGATTTTAGTGTCACCTAAAGAGGTTATTAAAACACACATTTCTCAGCCCCCACTCCCAGAGCTGCTGATGTAGTAGGTCTGGAGTGTCCAGGACCCAAGAGTTTGCATTTCTAACAAGTTCTCAAATGATGCTTATGTTGTTGGTCTGGGATCACAGTTTGAGAACCACTGAGTTACAGAGTAGTATCGAATCGCTTGTACCTGACAGTGATCTGCAGTGCTATCAACTGAAGTTCTTATAGGCTGAAAGAAACATCCTATATCATAAAAGGGTAGTATGCTAATTGACCCTCACGCCGTTGCAAAAGATGGCGGCTCCCACAACCAATAAGGAGGGAATGTGCTAATTGCCACGCCCTCAAAGTTGGCAGCACCCACAGCCACAAGATGGTGGCGCCCAGTCCCCTCAGCCCCCCAGCTGGCCAGGGCCGGCCCGAGGCACAGACAAGCCTCGGATGGCCAGTCACTATGAGGCGCACTGACCACCTCTTGGTCTCTTTCCCCGGCCAGCAGGCTCCGATCGCCCAATGGCAAATGGGGAACTGGGGTAGGGGGCAGGGCCAGGGAGCAGGCGGAATGGCCGACCTCTTGGTCCCTCCCCGCAGCCAGCAGGCTCTGATTGCCTGATGGCGAACGGGGAACCAGGAGTGGGTGGCAAGTGAGGGTGGGTGGCAGCGGGGCAGGGGGCGGGGGGCGGGGCCGGCTGCAGGCAGCAGGGGAAGATGGCCCTGATCACAGGCCAGGCCTAGGTACCATACCTGTGCACGAATTTGTGCACCAGGCCTCTAGTTATGTATAAGTGGGAGACCTCATACATGAGAAGCTCGGTTCTTCCTTACAAAGTTGTATGGAAGGCCCTCACTGATTCCCAATAACTGGTTGTCAAATCTTAGTCTCTTTTCTGCATATGCACTAGGACCTAATAATTAGAAATTAATTAAGAAGTAAGGCCTAACATGTATTGGAAAGGAATGTGAGGTAAGAGAAGGAAACATGGACTTGCCAGCAACATTTTAACTTTATTTTACAGATAAACTGAGCCCTGAGGAGTTAAATTGTTAAGAGTTGGCCTCAGAATTTGAAACTAGACCTTTGGTCCAAGACCTGAGTTCTTAGTAGAGGAAAACTTAATTTTATCATCATTGTCATTTCTAATACTCTATTTGTGAGTGATTTAAAGAAAGTCTTGAGTCATATCTGATATTGCCTAACTTTTTACATAAATTAATAAGCTGAATATTGTTCTTTTAGATTGCAAATTCAACTGCCATAAACGCTGTGCATCAAAAGTGCCAAGAGACTGCCTTGGAGAGGTTACCTTCAATGGAGGTAAAATTCTTTTTCTTAATTTTTATAAAAGATTAGAAAAGGTCACAATTCTTTTGTTTATTATCTTTGTATATGGTTATATTCGCATATTTTATTCTGTGTTTTTAACTGACTTTTTTTCTGATTTAATAATCAAGCAAGTTTCAGAGATCAGTAATGGTGTACTTTTATTAGTAATTATACCTTCCCATCTTTCCTTTAACCACCTACCACTTTAGGGTCTAATATAGCTAATAGTGCTGCATATCTTCTTTCATCTTTAGACATAAAAAGACTTACTTTAAAACCCTGTTGTTATCCCTAGAACTATTTCATAGTTCTAACATTTATTCACTGCTTACTATGTGCCAGGTACTGTTCTAAGCTCTTTACACATTGAAATTTTAACTTAAGAACAACCCTTGATGTTAAATATTTACAGATGAGTTAACTTAGGCACAAAGATATTAAATGATTTGCCCATGAAATACAGCCAATAAGTGGTAGAGTTGGGATTTGAATCCATATGGTCTGGCTTCTTAGTCCATAGTTATTAGAACACATTGTACAGCCTCACTGTCTCTTTCTCCATCAAGTAATCATTAGCTAGGCATTTCCCCATTTTTGCCTTTTTTTTTTTTTCTCTTTTCAAGAGTGTTAATAAAGTGATTACCATTTTTGGAAGGAAGGAGTAATGACTCTAAACTTTCAGCATAACTTTTCTTTAACATTTCCATGACTGGTAAAAATTGAATGTAAGTGGTTTTGTAGGAGGAAAAGAGAAGGGATGAAATTTTACAGCTCTTTAAGAGTTTAACATTTTCTCTTAAGGCGTGTTTTCTAAGCTTGCTGTTTACATCATTGACAGAGCATGATCGATTTTCTAATTTTTCTACATTACTGAAATCTTTTCATGTATTTTTTTCACTTTTAACTGTTGTCAAATGGATATGAAATACTATTTATATTTATTTTAATGTATATTTATTATCTGTATACTAATTAATTTGAGCATCTTTCAAATTTTACTGATTATTTAAAGAGTTTTAAAACTTTTTTTCCACATTTAATATATTGTTTCTGTTTGGATGTGTTGATATCCCATTAGTATAAAACTCTGTAATTCATTTAAAATTTTGCCAGAACCTTCCAGTCTGGGAACAGAGTCAGATATACCAATGGATATTGACAGTAGTGACATGAACAGTGATGGTGGTAGGGGTTTGGATGACATGGAAGAACCATCTCCCCCAGAAGATAAAATGTTCTTCCTCGATCCATCTGATCTCGATGTGGAAAGAGATGAAGAAGCTGTGAAAACCATCAGGTAATACATGTTTAGGTATTGCAAGCCTTTTCCAAAGGCAAGGTAGGTCCAGGAGCCCTGTTAATGAAAAAAAATGGAGCTGTACTTGTTCCACTTAATCTCTTTAAGTGGAATAAAAATGTAATTTAAAATCTAATTAAATTGTGGCTTATTCTTTTACATGCACTACAGTATTTCTGAAATAAACTATATTACTCTTACCATCCACTCAAGATAGATAGATATGAGAATTCTGTTTTCTTAAAGACAAAAATGCTTTATTTAAATATAGTCTAGATGTGATATCTAGCTGTGGAGCAGCGCTCACAAAGTGCCAGCATTAAACCACCAGTTTAAGCAGGGGTGGGGAATATCTGGCCCGAGGGCCATATAAGGCCTGCAAAATCATTTGGTTTGGCTCTGCCAAGGCATTAGGGGTGAGTTAATTAAATGTTTGGCCAAATATAGCAGGCTAATTTTTATGTTGATAATTTTGTATGGCCCTCGAATGATGTTATAAATATCCAAATGGCCATTGGCAGAAAAAAGGTTTCCCACCCCTGAGTTAAAGCAACCAGTTTCACAGCCTTCATGCAAGTAGATTGCCCGATGTGATACATGGTAAGAATATATGCCTGAGACTGTTACACAAAAATGTTAGTGCTGAATTTAGGGGTAGTTTCATACTACCACATTAATCTAACTTTTAGCACTTTGTAAAAATGCTATTTGATTATAAACCTTGTAAATATCTCCTCTGTTAACAGGAATTCAGTATTTTGTATATAAAGCCCTATAAGGATGTACTACTTCATAGTAGAATATTACCGTTTTGGCAGGTTTTATTTTTCATTGGCAACAAAGAGATATTTAAAGGAAATGGGTCATTTATCAATCTCACGTGGCAGAGTTGTCATTTATTCAGTTTGGCTTATCCTTAAATACAGGTCTTATCATAATCATTATTAACTAAAACTTATGTACCCAATTTAGAGACTACTTAAAGAATTTAGTTTCCTAAGCATGAATATTTCATAATTTTAAGAGAAAGTATTTTTTAACTCTTTGAGACTCAAATTCAAAAACAGTGTTTTTTTTATACACACGCCCAAAATTGCTCTTTTTTTCCAGCCACACTGTTACTGGCCTATGTTTCAGTGTTAACCAATTTGACTCATTACATTATTTATTTTCTTAATATCTTTAAATAATTTTCTCTTCAGTTTCTTCTACTAGAAGTACTAACAACATGAACAATGAAATTTGACTTTTGAACCATGAGAATTTGAGTATAGGTATACTTGTCTTTTGCCTGGTTGTGAATATACTAACTTACCATGTTACCTACGGCTGGAAGCTTTCTCAACAGCAATCCCAAATGGGACCATTTCCCAGGCTCCAGATCTTCCAATTGGAGAGGATTCTTTCTGCTCTGTTCCTTGTTTTCTTATGTTTTGTGATCTCTGGAAAATATTTATGACAAATAATGAGGACTTTAGTGTTATCATAATCTTTTATAGATCAACTGTGTATCAGCCTAACAGGATACATTTATTTTCTTCTTAAGCCATTGTTTGTCTACTTATTATCTTTAAAAAGGACTTGCTTATGTATATGACTTTTAAAAATTGAAATTATCAATATTTATCATAAATATTAAATATTTTTTAGTCCATCAACAAGCAATAATATTCCGCTAATGAGGGTCGTACAATCCATCAAGCACACAAAGAGGAAGAGCAGCACGATGGTGAAGGAAGGATGGATGGTCCATTACACCAGCAGGGACACCTTGGTCAGTAATCACAGGCATTTAAATATGATAGTGCATCTGTTACGTGCTTTATTTTGTGCATTTTTAAATCAAAATGAGAATGAGATACTTGTAAAGAATTTTTGAAAGGCAGAATGCTTAAGGTACTATCTTACAAACTGGTGGAGCAGTAAAGATTCAGAAAGGGTCTAAGGATAGATCCTTTGCATAACTCTCTGCAACAAACACCAAATGCATAACCTGTGCAAGAAATAATTGATAAGCTGAACTTAATTTCAATTAAAAACTTTTCTATAAAATACAATGTCAAGAGAATGGAAAGACAAGCCACAAACTAGAAGAAAATATTTGCAAAAGAGATACATGATAAACAACTATTCTCCAAAATATGCAAAAAACTCTTAAAACTCAAGAGAAAGAAAACACGATTAAAAAATGGGCCCAGGACATTCACATATACCTCACCAACGAAGGTACACAGATGGCAAATAAGCACATGAAAAGATTCTCTACATTATATGTCATCAGAAAAATAAAACTTAAAACAGCAAGGTACCACTATACACCTAGTAGAATGGTTAAAATCTAGAACACTGATAACACCAAATGCTGGTGAGGATATAAAGCAGGGGTTGGGAACCATTTTTCTGCCAAGGGCCATTTGTATATTTATAACATCATTTGTAGGCCATACAAAATTACCAACTTAAAAATTAGCCTGCTGTATTTGGTGAAATATTTAGTTAACCCACTCCTAATGCCTTGACAGGACCAGACCAAATGATTTGGTGGGCTTTATATGGTCCACGGGCTGGACGTTCCCCACCCCTGATAAAGAGCTACAGACACTTACTTTCATTGTTGATGGGAATGCAAAATGTTACAGCCCCTTAAGATGGAAACTTATGTCCATATAAAAACCTGCATATGGATGTTTATATTACCTTTATTTATAATTGCCAAAACTTGGAAGCAATCAAGTGACCTTCAGTAGGTGAATGATAAGTAAACTGGTCCATCCAGACAATGAAATACTACACAGCCTGAAAAAGCAGTGAGCTTCCAAGCCATGGAAAGACATGGAGGAACCCTAAATACATATTCCTAAGTGAAAAGCCAATGAACAGGGTTCACAGACAAGGAAATACAAATTACTCTTAAACATAAGAGCTTGATCTAAAAATACAATTTAAAATTTCAATGAATGCCAGTTTTTATCAGTATAGCAAAGATCAAAAAGTTTGGTAAAATACTGCATATGTGAAGATGTGAGTAAACAAGTACTCATGTTGCTGATTAGCCTTTAAATTGGGTCAAATGTTAAGCAAAATTACATGTGCGCATACCTTATGACCCAGCAAGCCAATCTTTAGAAATTTAGCCTGTAGGTAAATTACATATCTGTGTGTGTAATGCACATGTATTTGCATGTGCATGCATAAAATTCTCTAAAAGGATTTCCGAAGCCTGGTAACATTGCTGCATATACATAAGGGTAGGAGCAGTATATGAGCGATGGTGGTAGTATACTTTTCACTATAGAGTAAACCTTGATTTCGTGGACCTCAATTTAACAGACTTTGGATTTAATGGACATAATTTCCAGTCCATATGTCATTTGTGAAAATAACTCCCTATTAATTTTAAAATACTTTTAACCAAGATTTGCATATAATTAAATTAACAGGTTATATTTTTTTGTTATTAATTCACTGTTATTTTAAACAAATTTTAGTTGAATAGGCCATATGTTGGAAAAAACACTCTAGCAATTTACCAACATAAATATCTACAACTATAGTCTACATATTTAAATCCCAGAGTTGCCACTCGTAAACAGTGTTCAGCAAATAATTAACATGTGATCACTCCACATCGCATGTGATAATTGGTTCTGTTGTCCTGTGGCGTGACTTTCTGCAGCAGTTTTAATATGTGCCAGCCTATGTTCCCATGTGCAATAAGCCATGCCCCAGCTGTGTACATCTGTTTACTCAAGGTGACTGATGAATGCACGCATTTACTAGACCTATTCAGTATAAACTTTAAATTACAGTTATACATACAGAAAACTTTTATGTGAAATTAAACTTTTCATACATACTTAATTTTAATTACACAAACGTGTCTACATAAGTAAAAACAGGTAAACGAATTTGTCAATTTTTTAACATACGCGTTTGGAAAACCTACTTTATTATATAATGGACTTTTGGCTTAATCAGATACCCCTTGTCTGAATTAGTCTGTTTTATCTAGGTTTTACTGTACATCTTTTATATGTTTTCAGAATTTTGAACCTCATGAATTTTAAACCTACTAAATAGTACAAATGTATGAATAGAAATGAAAGGAAAAGTGCTTTGGAGGAATCATTATTTTTGAACTTCACAGTTTTATATTCTTTATTTTATAGAGAAAGAGGCATTATTGGAGACTTGACAGCAAATGTCTAACATTGTTTCAAAATGAATCTGGATCAAAGTATTATAAGGTAAAGATTTTACATTTTAAAATATGTACATTAAAAGATTATATGTTTTCCAAATATATCTAAATAATACTCATTAATTGTTATATTGGAATATACCTATTCTGACTCTGCCTGATACAGTTTATAGAAGTCACTGTTCAGTTCCTTGTTGAAGGGCCTGTCCCCCACCTGTCCATGTCACCCCCCACAACAGTTCTGCTGCCAAAGGGTGTCTTTCTGTTGTGGTTTCTGTTTTTGGTTTGCCTGTCAGGTTGCTGCTGCTTTACTTCTGGTCTTAAGACTTGGATTAAACTGTTTAGAAGCTCACATGATCGTGACCTGTCCAGAACAGGCCAACATGGTATTAAGTCAGTGTTTCCCTCACCTTCCATTTTACCCGTAGTCCCAATTCTCAGATGCTTCTTTTGTCTCTTCATATATTTTGTATAGTATTCTTTGCTGGGCTTGCTCTGCATTTTGCCATGTCACTGACTGACAATAACAAGATTTTAAGTGTGGCAGTTGTATCAGTAAGAAAGAGAGTGGAAACAATTGGCTTAAAGCAGAGGTCCTCAAACTTTTTAAACAGGGGTCCAGTTCACTGTCCCTCAGACATTCCACACATGTGCACTGTGGGCCCGGGACAAGTCGGCTGCTAAGCAGATCAGGCAGCGGCGGCAAAAACACCCGGCGGGCCGGATAAATGTTTTCGGCGGGCCGCAGTTTGAGGACCCCTGACTTAAAGTTAGGTTGGGGGGGGAGGTTAATAACTTTTTTTGCCCTACAAAGTGGACTAAATATGAATGATTATTACAGTATGGACAGAACCAAATGGAGTGCTTAAACAACCTATACTGACATTTGAATTTGCTGCTCTTATTTCTGCTTGGTACTCCTTTTGGGGACATAAAGGTGGGGCAAAAAATAGGTTTCACGTACAGTTGTGAGTATGTGAAACACAGAATTTATTCTTGTATTATTAATTACTGTATTATTTTCCATATGAACAACTGTAAATCTAATTTTGCCCCACCCTGTATTGCAGACCACAGCAGGTAGAGAAGTAGTTGTTGAGTTGATTTAATGACAGTTGGCAAGTATTGAATATAACGGCTGTTGGCTTCCTAACTCCTCTCTTTCCTTAGATTCTAATGACTTGCAATAGGCCTGAATCACTGATAGTTACACTCCATGTTTTGCCTCTGGCCTCACTGGACATGCAGATCATTCAAGGAAGATACTGTCATAAGACTTGACTGTGTGTTCCATGGCCCACATACTTGTGTTCATCTTAATAGCATTTATTAGAAATGCATATCTGATTATTTAGTGTACTAAAAATAGAAACAAAGAAGTTTTGTATTTTCTAATGCTTAATTTTTTACTTCAGGAAATTCCACTTTCAGAAATTCTACGCATATCTTCGCCACAAGATTTCACAAACATTTCACAAGGCAGCAACCCACACTGTTTTGAAATCATCACTGATACTATGGTATACTTTGTTGGTGAGAACAATGGAGACAGCTCCCACAATCCTGTTCTTGCTGCCACTGGAATTGGACTTGATGTAGCACAGAGCTGGGAAAAAGCAATTCGCCAGGCTCTCATGCCTGTTACCCCTCAAGCCAGTATTTGCACTTCTCCCGGGCAAGGGAAAGATCACAGTAAGCAATAAGCTTGTTGATGGCTTCCCCCTCCCCCTTTTGGTTCTTAAGTATTTTGTCATGTGATCATGTTTTCTGTATATATTTTAATGCTCATTTTAAGCTTTGTCTGGTGTAACCAATACCATTAGTTAACTCTTTTATACAGTTACTCTGGTTATAGTGTATACATACAGTCCCCTAGAGCTAGGCTCTAGGGTCAGTCTCCCTACGTTTAAATCCTGGCTTGGCTACCTTGCTGTGTGGTCTTAGACAAATACTGCACCTCTCTATAATAGTACCTTCTTTTTAGGGTTGTCAGTATTAAATGAAGAAGAACCTATAAGATATACAGAAGTGTTTAGCATCCATGAATTCTCATTGGATTAACTACTGGTATTAGTATTTTGCTTCATGGTGGGATATAACAGGCTCTAAAGCAGCGGTTCTCAACCTGTGGGTCACGACCCCTTTGGCGGTCGAACGACCCTTTCACAGGGGTCGCCTAAGACCATCCTGCATATCAGATATTTACATTACGATTCATAACAGTAGCAACATTACAGTTATGAAGTAGCAACGAAAATAATTTTATGGTTGGGTCACAACATGAGGAACTGTATTTAAAGGGCCAGAAGGTTGAGAACCACTGCAAAAGGGTTATGGTTCACATCACACTCAATGAACTCTGAAGTCAGAAATGTTGTATTTCTTTTAACCGCATTAAAACATGCAGAAATATTAAAAAATTATTATTATTTTTAAATATATTTTATTGATTTTTTACAGAGAGGAAGGGAGAGGGATAGAGAGTTAGAAACATCGATGAGAGAGAAGCATCGATCAGCCGCCTCCTGCACACCCCCTACTGGGGATGTGCCTGCAACCAAGGTACATGCCCTTGACTGGAATCAAACCCGGGACTCTTCAGTCCCCAGGCCAACACTCTATCCAGTGAGCCAAACCAGCCAGGGCATTAAAAAATTATTGAAACATGTCCTTTGCACCGACAAAATTTGATAAAGGTTTGAGTGAACACTTAATCAGAAAGCCATATTATAATGGCACTTTCCCTCTATTGGCATTATGTTATTTATGGGGAAACATAATTCAGTTATTAGAGAAATACGGTATATTTAAGTTGAAACATTTCAACCTGTTTCTAAATTAAGTTTTTTTCAGATCAGCTGTATTTTGTATAGCTATTCTTGACATTATGCTAGGCCCTGAGCTAGAATATAAAAGAAAACCAGGAATTTTAAAAGCTATTTAAGGAGATAAGACATGTACACAAGTGTTAGATGGTACATAAAGCAGTAGAGTGCAAAAATGAGTAATGCATTACTTGAACTCAAATGTGGAATGGAAGAGTAAATAGAGACTTCATGGTAGAAAAACCTGATTTGGACCTTGAGCTTGGATCTTAGGGTAGGCAGGGCTAAATGAAAGAGGTGAAGGGGGTAGTATTCTCTAGTTGAGGAGACAAGTGTGATCAAAGGGACAAGGGTAAAGTCCATGAACATGTTTGGTGTCTAATATTGATTGTTAGACGGTGAATAGATGTATATTCAGAGTGCTCCTTAAGTTTGGAGGGAATTTGGTAGAACTGTAATATATTTGAATGAAAATCATGGACCTTTCCCCCAATATAATACAGGTACATGCACAAAAATGTTATTATAATTGGACTTAGGGACCTTCTCAAGCCCAAACATGGACAGGCCCCCTAGGGTTAAGGGTTCCTAAAAGCAGAATTGGGGAGAGGTTAAAAGTGACAACAAAACTCCAGTTCTGCCATTTACTAGCAATGTGATCTTGGCCTCTACATTTCTCTGAAGTGGGAATAATAAATGCTCTTTATGCACTTAGCAGTTTCTGACACATTAGTGATATATTACTGTGTTGCTGCTGCTGTTGCTGTTCCTTTAACAACCTACCTGGAGCAGAGTTCTCCTGGGAAGCAATAGAAATTAAAACTGGATGGGGTTAGATAGTGGAGGCCTTTGAAACAAAATACATACTGATTTAAACTGGGAATTTTGTGGATGCTGTACTTTTTTTGTTTCATTAATATTCAACATTTGAAATATTTTTTTAAATATATTTTTATTGATTTCAGAGAGGGAGGGAGAGGGAGAGAGAGAGATAGAAACATCAGTGATGAGAGAGAATCATTCATTGGTTGCCTCTTGCATGCCCCCTACTGGGATCTAGCCCGCAACCTGGGCATGTGCCCTGACCAGTAATCGAACCCTGACCTCCTCCTTGTTCATAGGTTGACGCTCAACCACTGAGCCATGCCAGCCAAGCTGAAATATTTTTAAATTGACTAAAATGGAGTTTTTGACAGTCACGTTACTTACTTTTGATGTATAGTTTATTTACATTTCCTTGTTAATGAAGTTTTATATTTTTAATTTTTTTTTTTAATATATATTTTATTGATTTTTTTACAGAGAGGAAGGGAGAGGGATAGAGAGTTAGAAACATCGATGAGAGAGAAACATCGATCAGCCGCCTCCTGCACACCTCCTACTGGGGATGTGCCCACAATATTTTATTGATTTTTTACAGAGAGGAAGGGAGAGGGATAGAGAGTTAGAAACATCAATGAGAGAGAAACATCGATCAGCTACCTCCTGCACACTCCCCACTGGGGATGTGCCCGCAACCAAGGTACATGCCCCTGACAGGAATCAAACCCGGGACCCTTGAGTCCGCAGGCTGATGCTCTATCCACTGAGCCAAACCGGTCAGGGCTAATTTCTTATTTTTATTCTCAAAGTAATACAAACATTTAAACTTTGTAGAACTATGTAAAATGATAAAGTACTCCCTATATACATAAAACATCTTCCCATTCCCAATTCTATACCTCCCCCCTCAGAAAACTATTATTAATAGTTTGCTATATATTTATTGGTTTGAGAAGAGATTGGGGGAAGGGGCACCTATATTACTATATATGTATATGTATATGTATATGTATATGTATATGTATATGTATATGTATATGTATATGTATATGTATATGTATAAAAGGCTGATATGCCAAGTGTCCGATCGTCAGACCAGTAGCTATGACGTGCACTGACCACCAGGGGGCAGACGCTCAACACAGGAGCTGCTGAGCTGCAATGACTGGGCAGCGGTGGTTCTCGGGTGACACACCCGGAAACCAGAAAGGAAGGAGTCTGATTCCTTGTGGGGCCACGTGATTCCACCTTCGGCTATGGGTTATGTTGTTACTGGGGCACTGTCGCCCCGAATCTGGTTTACTGCACACTTGGGTTTGTGTTCCACACTCTGTACGACAGCAACTTTGCAGAGTGCACTCTCACACTCCGGGACCCCACAGGGGATGTCGGAGAGCCAGTTTCGACCCACTCCCCGGTTTCTGCCCAATCCCCGCAAGGCCAGGCCGAGGGACCCCACTCACTCCACAGACACCCTTCGAGCCTGGGAGGGTGGCTCCAGGGCATGTCCATCTGTCTCACCCAGTCCCGCCCTGCTGACCACCTTCTAATTAATTTCCTTTCATTGTGCACGAATCTGTGCACTGGGTCACTAGTATTGTCATATTTTTATTTTTACCAAAAATGTGGTCATACTCTCTGTTCTTTTTACAACTTTATCCACTATTTAATATATATCAGATGTGTTTCAATGTCAATATATAGATTTACCTAATTTTCAATTTTTATATTAAAGTAATGCATATGCCTTTTATGTTTTAAAAAATACAAACAGTTATAGAAGTGTATAAAGGCTATAAAATCTTTGTTTCCCAAACCCAGCTCTTTCATTCACAGGAAGCAATCGTATTTTTGGTTTGTTTTTAATTTAATTGCTGCCATCCTACAACTTACCTTTTTTTCACTTAATGATATGTCATGGATAGCTTTCTGATTTAGTACTTACAGCTCTACACTATCAAAGGTTTAGATAATATTCCTTTATATGGATATATCCTATATGACTGAACCAGTTTCCTCTTCCTGGATTAGTGTTGCATGTGTAAATTTTTTTTTAACAAATGTAATTACATTATATTAACTGAAAGTTTGCCAGTGATTTAAATTTAATATACTGTGAGCATTCACATATTAGTAAATATTAATATTTTTAAGTCATATACTAACAGTTCTGTTCTTTTCTCATGCATCATTCTTATATTTTACAGAAGATTTGTCTACTAGTATCTCTGTATCTAATTGTCAGATCCAGGAAAATGTGGTAAGTAAAAATTACCTGTTTTTCTTATTCTCGGGTTTCACATCCTTGGATTCAACCAATTGCAGAGTGAAAACAGTATTTTTGTTCTGTAGTTGGTTGAATCCTCATATGCAAAGGGCCAGGAATAGTTAAGTTTTGGGAAGTCAAAGGTAATATGTTGATTTTTGACTGCATGGGAGTTGGCAGCCCTCACCCCCACATTGTTCAAGGGTCAGCTGTACAGGTTTTTATGTATCAGGCAATGGAAATCTTGACACTTTGTATTTTTCCCATTTAATTTACTCAGAAGTTTAGTGAGATAGATGTTATTATTCCCACTTTACCAACAAAGAAATTGAGGCCTAGGAGACTAAATTATTTGACTAACTACCATGAGACAGGCACTAGCTAGGAATGTAACACTAAACAAGATGGAGTCCCTAACATCATGGAGACTGCAGTACATACCCAACAGAAGGGTGACCTTGACTGAAGAGCAGTAGCATTAGAGAGTGCCACACCCCCAAGAACTTTCTGACAGCCACCATTATTTAAAAAAAAAGAAAGGAAGGAAATGGGAGGGAGGGCAGAGTTCATCAGTCTTTCCAAATTAGCCTACTCTTAATAATATGAACCTTTTAAGAGTGTGTGTGTGTGTGTGTGTGTTTTCAAATTAAAGATAGCAAATCTCTTTAATGGTAAAATAGGTAAAACTTTGTTCTTAATTTTTTTAAAATATATTTTATTGATTTTTTACAGAGAGGAAGGGAGAGGGATAGAGAGTTAGAAACATCGATGAGAGAGAAACATCGATCAGCTGCCTCCTGCACACCACCTACTGGGGATGTGCCCGCAACCAAGGTACATGCCCTTGACCGGAATCAAACCTGGGACCCTTCAGTCCACAGGCCAATGCTCTATCCTCTGAGCCAAACCAGTCAGGGCAAGATTTTTTTTTTTTAAATTCAAAGCATTTTTTCCCAATGATCTTCTTAGAGAATACATTATACTTGCACATTGAGGTTGATAGTATGAAAATTTGGCTCACTTTTCTAGAACATACAAAGCCAATGTTTCATAAAATATTGTTATCAAAATTAGTTGCCTATGTCATAAAAACAAAAATGTATTTAACTGTTTGAAGAGTTAGAGATGTTGATAATGCTTTGTAAGGGTCAGTTATACTTACTGCTTACTTTTTTCTAAATAGGACATCAGTACTGTTTACCAGATCTTTGCAGATGAGGTGCTTGGTTCAGGCCAGTTTGGCATCGTTTATGGAGGTAAGTGTCTATAGCCGTTTACATATAGAACATACTATAGAAACATTGCGAAATTTTAAAACATCTGCCAGCTGTTACATCTTGTCACAATTAAGTTACAGAAAGAATAAGAAAATTAGTTTCACAGTAGCCTACTTTTTCTCTTTCTGTAGCTCGCACATATTTGTGTATGAAAAATAAATGGTTTGAAGTTATGCCTGTTTATTGAAGTATATGTCCTACTGGTTTTCCAACACAAATGAGACCATTTGTCTACTCTTTGCTCTGTGACTTAGGATATTGGCAAAGTCATTTAACCTCACTGTGCCTCAGTATCTTCATCAGTTTAATGGAGCTAATAAAAGCTGATCTGCAAGCTCACAGGGTTGTTAATATTAACTTGATATACATAAGGGTACTTTATAAGCTTTAACAAAAGATAAACCCTTGTCATCCCTTGCTAAAACTATTACAGTAGTCTCCTAGTTGGCCTTACAGCCTCCAGGCTTGCCCTTATATGTGGTTAAATCACTCGCTGATTCAGTGAACCTAGAATAAAATTAATTCATTGGTACAATGTTTCCATCTTGACAGAGTCTCTAAATGCCAGTTAACTATCATTTATTTAATAAGGCAGATTATTTTTCATCAAACAAGTTGATTCAAATTTCCTACCATTTCAAATAATAAAACTCCCTTTATTAGGGTCAAATAATTTATTTCTCAAAATTAAGGTGAATGAAGGAGAAAGAACAAAATGAGCCAAAGAAAAGAAACATAAGAGCAAATTCATATAAATTTCAGTCTGTGGACAACTTTCAGATAAAGCTTTTGTATTGCATGTGAGCTGTCAATTTGCTTCTTCTTTCTTTTCTATACTTTTTTTAAAAATAGGAAAACATAGGAAGACTGGAAGGGATGTGGCTATTAAAGTAATTGATAAGATGAGATTTCCCACAAAACAGGAAAGTCAACTCCGTAATGAAGTGGCTATTTTACAGGTAAAAAAATGATGCTTTGAGGGGTTTTAATTTTTGATTTATTAATTTTTAATCGAAGACTGTTTAATGTACTGATAAGAATAAGATTTGGGATTTTGTTTGGTTTTGTTTTGGTCTCATGGCCTTTTGGCTTAGTGAGAGGGTGGTGAGCATCTGAATTAACTCCTTAAGTTCTTTTTTAAAAAGGAAAAATTAAATTACAGTAAACCAAGAGTTACAAAGACTGCCATTATTTTGCTCTATGGTAGTAATTTATTTAGAAGACATTTTCATAAATAAAATCTTTTTTAAAAAATACTATTCTTAATACCTATCAACACATTTTGTTAGATCATTGTTGTACCAACCAATTCTCACAGATGAGGTGCTTGACTATTACAGCAATTATTATAAAAATAAAGACTGCTTAAAAATTATTTACCTTTAGCCCGGCTGGTGTGGCTCAGTGGTTGAGTGTCGACCTATGAACCAGGAGGCCATGGTTATATTCCCAGTCAGGGCACATGGGATTGGGTTGCCAGCTCGGTCCCCAGTAGGGAGTGTGCAGGAGGCAGCTGATCAATGATTCTCTTACATCATTGACGTTTCTAGCTCTCTGTCTTTCTCCCTTCCTCTCTCTGAAATCAATAAAAACATATTTAAAAAATTGTTTACTAAATAACAGTAGTAGTTGTTATTTTATTAATTCAAAAGTCTAAAGATTTAACTTATTAATGGCTTAATCCATTAAGGTATATTTTTAAAGATATATTGGCAGTGACTTAAAATCCCATAAAATAAATTACTATATGTTTTTAAAAATATGTTTTTATTGATTTTAGGGAGAGAGAGAGAAACATCAATGAGAGAGGAACATGGATTGGCTGCCTCCTGCACATCCCCTTCTGGCGATCCAGCCCACAACCAGGGCGTGTGCCCTGACTGGGAATCAAACATGCAGCCTCCTGGTGCATGGGTTGATACTCAACCACTGAGCAACACCGGCCGGGCTACTGTGTGTTTTATTTTCTTTTAACATTTTTACTTCTTTTGGGAGTCACCCAGAGGATAAGATTTAGCTTTATCTATTTTTCTGATAAATGCTTATTTTATCTTTTTAATATTTAATATCATATAAAATAGTATATAATATTTAATACATAACATGCAAGTTTCTATTAATTCGGTGTGTAGCTTTTGCACAATATTTTAGAAATCATGGTGATGTGATAGTTAAAGCTGTCAGCGCCCAATTTGCTTGTGGGTGAAGTTCAAGAAGACATACTCACTAAACTTATGGTTCCTTGAAGAAGGTAAGAAATTTATAAACACATAACTAATTTTACATTTATTATATTATTGGTCACTAGTAATAACATTTGCCTCACTTCTTTTTCAGAGGAGTGATAATCAAAACATTGGTCTACAAGCTACCTGTGTTCACTTCAAGTCTGCCTCCTACAAAGAAAGTTACCCTAAATGGAATATTAGCTTTCACACTCTGTATTAGGGTGTGACTACATTATTAGGAGATCTTTTTTCATATCTTATTTTGGAATCTTTCTCATTGTCCAACTAATATGCAAAAAATAAATATTAAGGATATATTCCTAAAGCTTGATTTCTTGGTGTCATTTTTGATCACAAACACTGAACCTCTTTTCCCCTATGTTAGCAACTCTGGATCATGGTAACAAATAGGAATTTCCAGATAATGTACAATGTAAAAACTTTATTAGTGTATCCTTCTGGTTATTTTCCTTGAAATTGCCCAGTTGGGGATAGAATTAAGTAATTGTAACATGTTTCCAAATATAATATTGTCATCTTAAATTTAATACAATACTATGTTTGTGGTAGATTCTCTTCAAATTATTCATAGAAAATATTTACATTTTTATATTTAGTAAATGGCTTATTTTGTGCCAGAAACTATACTTAATTTTTCTCAAACTCACCTAGCAGGAAGATGCTCCATGAAACGAGTTATTTATCAGTTTTGTTGACTGATAATTTCAAACTACCTACACTGTACTAGGCACATAGCAAGTACTCTTATTATTTGTTGAATAAATGTATTTATGTGGGGAATTATTTAGAACGTATTAAATTTTTTAAAAGGAAGCATGGAATGATCCATTTGTATAAATTCTCATAGGGGATGTGCAGGAGGCAGCCGATCAATGTCGCTCTCATATAATGTGCATACTATATATGTTTATATACAGTTATGTGCAGAAAAGAATTCATACTTGCATACACTGTCAGCATTGTCTCATCTGGGAAGCATGGGGACTTTTACTTTCATTTCATGGAGATATGGTAATGTTAAGTGTTTCTTTGGCTATTTATTGCCTGAGCAGAAAAGGGGTGGTGCTGAGAAAACGTTATCACAAACTTAAACAGGAACTTTCTATTTTGAATATTGTGTTATAAAGCCAGCATTTTCCCCTTCTTGGGAGTCATCCAAAAGCTACGAGAAAACTGGTAAACAGTAAAGCATACTCTGTCCTTCATAATAAAAGAGAGTTCAGACCTACAAAATAAGTAGAAATTTTTCCAAAAGTAATGGAGATGGAGCAGGGGCGCATGCAGGAAGGGATACCACTAGAATGGTTTTTGCTGGCTCTTTTGAGATCTACAATTGTGATATCCAGGCACCTTCTCAGAAGACAGTCAAGGGATCATGATCTGATAAGATTTATTTAATTCAAGGGAAAACACATTAAATGAATTGAAGGGCGGGGCAGTTAAAAGTGGAAAAGAACAAATCACACTATACCAAATAACCAGTCATACGAATATATACATATTCAAATGTAAATATTCAAAGAATAGTATTATTTGATTTTCATGCAATATATCTAGAAGTAGATTTCAGAATCAAAAAACAAAGCCCCCACCACCTGAAAACAGTATATTAAAATCTTAATTTTTGAATCAGAGCAAAGTCAAAATTTCAGAACACTATTTAGAAAATAATTATTTAAAACACTATATCAGAGGTTTTGGACAGAGAAAGCTTATTAACTTGAAATATTAAGCAAGAAAGAATAAAAATAAATTAAGAATCAAACTCAGGAAGTTAAGGAATGAACAAACAATGAATTTAAGGAAAGCAGAAGGGATTAACAAATAAAAATGAAATTAATAAATATAATACCAAAAAGAATAAAATATGTCCAAAAGCATGTTCTTGGGGGGGGGGGGGGCGTTAACAATAAAATAGTCAACCTAATAAAAAAATAAAATATAAAAACATATTGAAGAGATAACCACAAATACTGGGGGGGGAAAAAGGAATCTTAAGGCACTACCTTGCACAATTCTATCAGATAAATTAGAAAACCTGGAGAAAAATGGTTAATTTTCTATGAAATTATAGTTTTCCAAAACAGACTTCAGAGAAAATAGGACATTTAAACAAACAGAAGTTAAGAGAGAATAATGGTACAGCGCAGTTCCATTTTTGTATGTGTGTGTGTGTTTTTAACAGGGTTGGGGGGAAAACCTAATAGACAACTACAGCATAGGGGACAGCCAGCCATACTTCCAATTCTAGGTTGACCAAAGAAAGTTATGATATTCTGAATTTTTCACTGCTTACTGTCATTAATTATTCACTGTGGGCTATTTCACTTCTGTTTATAAGATTTTGTCACTTCTTATTTTGTTGCTTGGAAGATTTATGGTGTTTTAAGTTGATTAGTAAATTGGAACATTAAGTAGTTTTAAGTTGATTAGCAAAGAATATTTTGTGCTTCTTACTCATTTTCTTAAACATTTTTAAAAAGAACAACCATGAATTAGACATTGATTTAAAATGACTAAGACACAGTCTCTGCCCCTAAGGAGCTAATGAGGCTACAGAGTAAGATACATACATAGTATGGTACCATGGGATAAATATTGGGGGAATTGAGATGATGGTGGATTTAAAAACATTTTAGAGATGGAGCTCAACTTCACATAGACAAAAAAAAAAAAGTTTGCCCTCTTAGTGTAATTAGGTACCCATGATAAGGACAAAAGGCATAAGAAAAATATTATTTCTATTAATAAATTAAAAGTGTAATTATTTGGGTCAATAGAGCATATTTAAGATGAATTGGGAGAATGAAGTTAGATTTTTTTAAGATCTTAAAATTCCAGCAGAGGAATTAAGATTTCTGCCCAGAAATAAAGTGCTATTTGAACATTTTTGAGCATGGGTGACTTCTCAAGTTTGCTTTAGAGGAACCCACCCCCGCCTCCCCCAGTGAGATAGGTTGCTTTTTTTATTAGCAGAAACAGTATCACATTCATCTTTGTATTGTCCAACCCTGGTAACATAGTAGTACTCAAGTAACATTGGTTGATGGAGATAAAAAGATGCTGAGCCTAAATGAGGGAAGACCAAATCAACGCATAATATAATGAGAATCAAGACTTGGGTAAATAATTACCTTAAAAACAAAGCCATGTCTTGAGCATAGACCTTCACAAATACTTGCCCCAAAGAGTTCTGTGTAATTAGCTAAAATTTGATTGGCAATTGGTGCTTCTTCATGGACAGCATAAAGTTAGTGTCAGAAGATTGAAAAGGTGAAACGGAAAAAGAAGTAGTAATGAACAAGGGCAATTATATAATCAACTTGGGGAGACATTCTTTGGCCTCAGTGCATCAGCTCTCCATAATTTGGAAAAATCGTAATGTGTGATACTTTTTATTTTGTTTGCTTTATTGTTTATTTTCCTAAGCTGTTTTTCTTCCTTTGCCATGTATTGCATACAATTAATCCTGCAACTCTTCAGAATTTGCACCATCCTGGGATTGTAAACCTGGAATGCATGTTTGAAACCCCAGAACGAGTTTTTGTAGTAATGGAAAAGCTGCATGGAGATATGTTGGAAATGATTCTATCCAGTGAGAAAAGTCGACTTCCAGAACGAATTACTAAATTCATGGTGACACAGGTATCTTAACCATCTTTATAAACTAATAATTTTTTGACAGTGAAAGATAACTGCTTAGTTTTTTTATTTTAATTTTACATTTATCCTGTTTTAGAAGCAGCTGTCTTTTATGTTAGCATTGTTTCTTTTTAAAATTTTTAAATTACACTTGACACAGTATTATATTAGTTTCATGTGTACAACATAGTGATTAGACATAACATTTACAGAGTGATCACCCTGATAAGTTTAGTACTCATGTGACACCATACACAGTTGTTACAATGTTATTGACTATCTTCCCTATGCTTTATTTTATTTTTTACCTTTTAATTAAATATACTGGAGTGATTAGAAACTACACAAAATAATTAAATAGCATTATATGTATTTTACATATTCCTAATGTGGGAATTGTTAATCTTGAAGAATAGAATAACACAGTTAAATCTTGATGAACTGTAGTTGGCTTTTCAAATTACTGTATCGTTCAACAGGTTAGATTGGGGTTTAGCTATTATTTTTCCAGGCATTGAAAAAAATCTGTTTCTTTCAATAACAGATACTTGTTGCTTTGAGGAATCTACATTTTAAAAATATTGTGCACTGTGATTTAAAGCCAGAAAATGTGCTACTCGCATCAGCAGAGCCGTTTCCTCAGGTGAGATATTCTCCAAACCTTCTTAAGTATCATTTTAAATATCTTTCAACATGATGAAGTACCTACATAACAAAAAGCCATGCTGTAGGTTCAAGTATATAACCATTTTACAGCCAGTAAGGATGAATACCTGAAGAGTTTGAATTCAGATTTTACTAATTATATTGTTTATTTTTATGAAAGACTTTCTAAACTTAACCAGATCTCAAGGAATACCTTCTGCACATAGACTGTTTGCAATTCACCTCTCTCTTTGGGTTGGGGTTGGGAATAAAGGGGAGAATCAACATTGGTAGGTGCTCGTGCTGAGCACAAAACAAACTGAGGGGTAACCCTGAATTTGGAGATACTAGATTTTGATTATCTAGTTGGCAGGAAGCCAATTCTTCTTGCTCTTTAGAATATTACATTTCAATCATTTTCACCAAAACCTGTATAAGAATTTCATTTCCCATCACCACCAGTACTCAAGCACATATAATACCATGTGTGATGCACTGGTTTCGTTTTTTACTCAGTTAAATTTCATTTAATTAAAAAATGTTGATCTTGATCCAAATTTATTTCATCACCTAAAAATGAATCATAACCCAAAGTTTGAAAAAGTTTTCCTGAGGAAATAAGTTCGCAGTACCTTTGAATGGTTTTCATGATTGTGTCATTGATGAACCTTCCAAACAGCTAGAATATCTGTTGCCAAACTATTGTTTATATACATTTAAAACATGTACAACTAGACAAATGCCTAGAATAAAAACAACAGATGGCTATTTTACTTGGTAAATTCAACTCAAATTGTCTTTCAAAGAAAAAAATGTGTTAAAAATTATTTAACCTTTTTACTTTTAAAGAAGTAATCATATTCTTTCTTTTATAATGCCTATGTGGTTAGAAGTTATTCCTTATCATTGCAAGGTCAAAGAGGGTTCCCTAGTCTTTGGTGCAATTTTTTTAAATAAAGTACTTCCATATCTTATCTCAGATCTTCAAAATAGTATGGGCAAAGGATACACGCCCCCATGGCTAAGACTAAAACTCCAGCTTTCTGACCTCTACTTTAGTGATCTCCATTGTTCCACTAGGAACAAAGGGAAAATAGCATAATTTACTGGATAGTCTTTTTTGCTCAAGTGCTAGCTAGCCATGGTCACACTTCTTTATTCTGTTGCCAAACTGCCAAGTCATTTTACTTTATCAAGATGTTAGCTAAAATATGGCATTTAACAACAAAATGAAAGAGTTTATGTTTCTTCATGGTCAATATAGTCCTACTCTTCAAAGACTCAAATAGAGAAATAGCCAATTTCAGTAATGACACAGAACAAATATCATCATAAAAACATCTATGAGGGTCCATATTCCCAAAATAGCATCATTTAAATATACCTTCATCTTTGCTCTCCTGTCAATATTTGTACTACTGATTTGTACAGGCCAAATTCCTTTTCTCTCATTTTATATTAATGCTTTCTCTGAAGACATTTTGTGAATGAGGCATTTCCTCTGGAAAGTACTTGTTATTTGCTTATTCAGCATGGATGCATCATTCATCACCAAAACCTGAACCTTTAGATAAGTGTTCTGAGCTCTGCCAAGCTTATCAAACTTCCAGAACTCTGTTCCCAAGTGGACATGATAGTGAATGTGGCTACCTGCAGATATAACGTTTTTCATATCTACATAAACATCTAATTAGCACTAATTGTGCCACAGGCATAGAAAGCACTGTTATTTTTCAAGCAGTCTTTAGCATTACTCTTCTGCTGGCCATATTAATAGTTATCTTTAATACACTTCAATTTCATTTACTTGCCAATTTATAGTATCGATACTTGGGAAGACAGATTCTAGGATTAAGCAAAATAAAAAGTGGGTGTTTTTTTAATTTTTTTTTTTATTGATTTCAAAGAGGAAGGGAGAGGGAGAGACAGAGATAGAAACATCAGTGATGAGAGAGAATTATTGATTGGCTTCCTCCTGCACGCTCCCAACTGGGGATTCAAGCCTGCAGCCTGGGCACAGGCCCTGACCAGGAGTGGAACCATGACCTCCTGGTTCATAGGCTGACACTCAATTACAGAGCCACGCTGCAGGCAAAATAAAAATATTTTAAATATCATAACTTCTTTTCATTCAGCAAACATTTATTAAGTACCTTTATATGTCCAGGCACTGTGAATCCACTGGGGATTAAAAATGAAATACATAGCCCTGACCGGTTTGGCTCAGTGGATAGAGCATCAGCCTGTGGACTGAAGGGTCCCAGGTTCGATTCCGGTCAAGGGCATATACCTTGGTTGCGGGCACATCCCCAGTAGGGGATGTGCAGGAGCTTGCTGACCGATTTTTCTTTTTCTTTTTTCTGTTTCTAACACGAGCTAAATTGATGTTCTCCAGAAAGAGGGTGCGAGGTCTAGGAAGAAAATAACATGGGAGACAGTTATGCATGACCGAGAAATTGGCTGTAAAAGACTAAGCAATAG